CCCAGTTTTAGACCTCTGTGTTTTCCTCTGAATGTCTGTGTGTGTGTGTGTGTGTGTGTGTGTGTGTGTGTGTGTGTGTGTGTGTGTGTGAATCTTTATGTTCATTATACACTTCACTTTCTTGTGTGTGTTTTTTGGGTCATGTGTGTGTGTCGTTAACCCCTCCCTACCCTCCCAGATGCCCCATCACCCCTCCTGCCACCACCGCCGCCGCCTCCTCCAGCAGTGCTCTAGCAGTTGCTATGGCAACCCAGCCGGAGAAGAGCACCTCTGAGCATCGCTGCCGCATCTGTCAGAGGTCGTTTCCCGGGCAACAGGAGCTGCTGGTTCACTTCCAGGGTCATCGCCAAGGCAACCAGTACCGGTGCGACCGGTGTGGCCACCTGACGCGGACAGCCAACAAGCTGGTGGAGCATGTCCGCGTGCACACGGGGGAGCGGCCGTTCACCTGTGACCTCTGCCCCTACAGTGCCAAGCGGCGGGACAGTCTGCGTCTGCACTGCAAGGTCAAACACGCCGCGCACGTCAGCGGGAACGCGGCGGACGCGCCCGGCGATGTTCACACACACCGGTCGTACGTGCATGGAGACAATCAGCGTTCAAACAAACACGTTCAGCGGCTGCACACACCGCTCAACACACACACTGCTGCTCCCTCCTCCTCCTCCCTTCCTCCTCTTCATCCCTTGCTCTCTGACCGGGCAGGATGGAGGGATTTGTCTCCTCTCCTCCCCATCACAACACTCATCTCTCTGAAACCTCGCTCTCCTCCGTCACCCTCCTCTTCCTCCTCCTCCACCAAACACTCATTTCTCTGTTACCTTGGTCTGACAACTTCTTTATAAGCATTCTTTGCCCTCCTCTGCTCTCGTCTTCACTCCATTTCTTGTTTCCTCTACTCTTCCATCCTAATTTCTTTACCTCCCCCTCTTTTCTATTTCATTTCTCCTCCTTTGACCTTCTTATTTTCTCATTTCCTTTCTTCTACTATTTTCTCTTTGCCTCCTTTTTAATTTTCTTCTCTCTCAATGCCAGGTTTCATCTTCTTGTTTCCTCTCCTCTCTCATCCTCATTTTCTCCTCTCTTCTTTTCTCTCCCACTCTCCTCTCCTTGTTTTCTCTCCCACTCTCCTCTCCTTCTCTCTTTCTTATTTTCTTTCTCTTCATCTCCTTGTCCCACCCCTGTTGCTTCCTCTCCTCTTTGCCTCCCTCCTCATTTCCTCTCCTCGTCTCTGCTTGACGTCACGTTTCATCTCCTTTCCTCTCCTCATCTTCTATCCATCCTCTGGACTGTTTAAGTGATGGATGTAAAGCTCTGTAATGTATCTGAGGTACTTTCACTCAACACTAAGTATGAGAATGTCAAATATGCTTGATGCACTGAAAAAACACACGATGAACGTTTTGAATTTACAGAACTTTTTGCATCATGCTCGTGATCTTTGCTGCCTGCTTTTAGCCGCTCATGTAATCACTAAACTCTTTGGCTATTTAACCAACATATTTATTGCTTGTCTCTCTCTCTCTCTCTCTCTCTCTTTCTCTCTCTCTCTCTCTCTCGTCTTTCAGAAACCCTGCACTTAAAAATCCTCTCGTCACGATTTGCACACAAAAACCCACAGCGACGCTTTAATGTAAAGACAATTGATCCATTCTGTCGTTTTGTTATTGAGGAAATCACGACAAAGAATTGAATTTACTAAGTCGTTGAGTTTTCCGTAAAGATGTTTTCTTGAGAGATGACGTAACGTAACGCCATCACTTTCTTTGATTCTGTTTATTTTCCATCTTCGTGATCTAAGTTTTGAGTTTATTCCGGCTGAGGCTCGATAACTTGACCTGATGGTGGCGCCGCAGGATCTCCAACGTTATTAGAGTTCATCCAGAGGGGAACGTGATAGTGATGATAAAGCAGCTTGTAACTGGGGTGTGTTCGTGACCTTGTGATGACATGTTTTTAGAAAAGTTGCCGCAGCTTCACCAGGTTTAAATCTCATCTGAGTTCATTCACATCATCAAGTTTACAACGTTAAATCTTTTAAAAATCAGTTTTAAGGCTTCAACAACATTTATTTTTAATTTTATCACAGTTAAATCTGATTTAATCATCCGATCATTAAAATGTACGATCTTCAAGCTGCCAGAACAGATTCAGTTTATTCTTCAGTAGAGATGACCCAATAAACCAGGAAATATCCACATCTGAGAAAAACGTTTTGGCATTTTTATTTATTTATTCTTCCTGATAAATATAATTATTTTAATTCAACACAATAATTTTTTTAATACATGTCTGAATGAGAATCAGTTACTATGACGACTTCTTTCTCTTCCTGCTTTGGGGATTTTTAAGGGGACGAGGTTTCTGGCAGACAGTGATGATCTTTTTAATATTTGTGTTGTATATTGATAATAATGTATTTGTGTTTACATTACAACACAGGGCTCCTCAGAGTCCGACTCGTCTCCATTTAAAGTTGCACAACACGTTGATTCACTGAGAAGAGAAATATTGTTTATTTTAACTCTAACAAAACCAGAAAGACGAGCAATGTTAAAAAAAACACGGACATTTAATGAATTCAACATTTGAATTAGTTTTTCCCATCTAACGTATCGTTTACATCACACATCATACACTGTAAATAAAGACGGATAACATGGCAGCTCCCAAAAGTGAAGCCATATCAACTTGATTGCCCCCTGGTGGCTGTCGATACCACTACTGCACAGACTTTGTGTGAAAATGACATAAGAATTGCAAGACAGCGGGACCTTTATCCAGATGATTGATTTATTTTGTTAAAGTGAAGAGGCATTGTTCATCTTTATTTACAGTCTATGCACGGGACCGATGATAATGTGATGCTACCTGATGCGACTTCGCATGCAGGTCTTTGCCACTTTAAAACCTGATGTGAAAGTCTTAAAATAAACTACATCCTTTAAATGAGGATTGATTGCGGTTTTCAGGGACGTACGTGTTCAGAAACATCGCAGCCAGATATGACCTGCAAGTTATTTACACGTAAAAAATAATTTTCACAAATACAGGTTTGGATAAGATGACTCTTTTTTTGGAGCGTGTCCTCTTAATAATCTTTAATCGCACAACACAGACAGAGAGCGGCGAGAAGAAAACGCTGCTCACGTGTTGTTTGAATGTGAAGTGTATGTACGGTCGGAGGCGCTGCGTTCTGCACGTTTCATTTTTACACAGACGAGCATGAAACTCAAACATTACCTTCCTCTCAGATCGTCTGGCTTTTCTTTTCTGTTTCTATCTGCTGAATCCTGTTACTGTTCGCTGCTGCAATGATCAATAAAGTTTAATTTCATCTGACTCTCAGCCTGTACACGCACACACTGTGTTTATACTGTATATGTACAGTATATGCTGTGTGTACACCACTGCAGGTTACATTATGAATTAGCTGCTGTGTGCAAGGAGTTAACACACGTGTGAAAAGAAAAGATGTCTATGGTTGTTATGTGAGTTTTCTGTGGTGACTTTGTGTGTTTGTCTCTTTTTTGGTAACTGTGTCTCTTGTTTTGTGTCAGACTTTGGTCATTTTTTTGTCTTTGTGGTGATTTTTTGCATCTTTTTGGATTGTTCTGTCTCTTCTGGTCGTTAAGCGTTTCTCTGTGGTAGTTTTGTGTCTCATTGTCGTCACTTGATGTAAGTCACTATTGCCTTAAGCATCTTTGTGAGACTTCGTGGCCATTTTGCATCTCTGTGTTTTTCTGTTCATTTCAGTTTCCATTGCATTGTGCATCTTTGTGGTCGTTTTGTGTCTCTGTGATTATTTTGTATCTCCCTGTGTTGTAGTTGTGTTGCATCACTTGAGAGGAGTGTGGTTTGGGCTGTGTCACCCCTCAGACCCGATTTAGTTTGTCTTGGTTGCTGTTCACTTTTTAGACTTTTGTATAATTGTTGAGGGTTTAATGATTGGTCTCTGGATGAGACAGTGGACGAGACGCTATTTAAATCGTCTGAACACAAACGACAGAGAGAAACCATGGATGAAGGTCACACAGCACACTCACCCAATGAGTGGGAGGATAAGTGTCAATCGCCATGGGTCCTGTCCCCTCCTCGCATGTAACCATGGTTACCTGGCATGTTGTAGTTCTCCATGGCGGCCCGCGGGAGGCCTGTGGATTGGCCGGGAGCAGCACGGTGCTCTGCGAATCACTGAGCTGTGCGGGGGCCGTGGTGGGGGGAGAGAAAAAAAAACCGCTCGCCCACATAAACACAAGGGTCGTTATTAGATTTCAGCAAATGGTGTTAGAGGAGAGGAGAGGGTGAGAGAAAAGGAGAGAGAGCTGGGAGGAGGAGATGAAACAAGGTCACGAAAGATAAGCAGAAGAAGAGAAGGTCAAAATGAGAAAAAAAGACAGGAGGAGGTGAAGAGGAGGAGGAGAGTATCAGGTTCTTCTTCTTTTCTGCAAAAGGTCAAAGGTCACGGCCTGAGGGCGTTACCATGAACACTAAGATGACAGAAACCATCTCTTAGGAACATTTAACATCTGCTTTGATTTTTTTATGTTTGGTCCATGTCCCATCCGCTAACATGGAAGAGACAGGGTTATACTGCACTTGAGTCCACCTTAGAAAATACAAAT